CCCCCCCCGGAAGGCCCACCCCCGTTAAAAACTTTTTTCCTGGCTCTGGGGCCGGGGTTTTTTTTTTTTTTTTTTTTTTTTTTTTCAGTAATTTACGGTCAAACCATCAAAAGTGATGTAAATGTGATGGATATGACGGATGTGCTTATTTTATTAGTCTTGCTTCCCCACAGGTGATACAGCTGTGCCGGCCGTCTGACTCCCGTCTGGAACACGTGGATTTCGAATGTCTCTTCTCTTCGTTGAGTCTCCGTCTGCTCCTCCGAGTTTTTGCCTCTCTGCTGCTGGAGCGCAGAGTCATATTCACCGCAGACAAACTTAGGTTGGTTCCTGCATTAGCACCCGACAGAGGATTGGCACTATTGAATAGCCAGCTGCTAAATCCTGCTAAATAAAATAAGGAAAGAGAGACCTCAAGATGGCCAGCAGTCGAAGGATGGGAGGATTCCAGCAGAGTGTGAGAGGAAGGAATGTTGTTGTGTTCGACAGTCACTTGGGGAACAATCAGTTCTTCAATGGAAATCTGTCATGGATGCCAGATAGGCTGCTTTGAAGCGTAACTTCAGAGTTACCACGGCAGTGCTTCACACTCTTAACACGCACAATATTCACTGAGAACTGACTCTCCGGTTTTTATCTGACGTGGAGCAAAAGCTCAGCAAATGGACCGCTCTGACCTCATGTGTGTTTGGTTCTGGTGACAATGTCAACGTCCAGCATTTAGCTTTAACTAACAGGCTTTTCTTTATAAAAACTGGTTGAAAAGGCTTTTGAAAGAGGCTAGCGCCACCATGTGGTGGAAACTAGAAATTTATGGGCCACTGTATATCACCGTCTGACTATGGGGAAACTCTTATGTTTACAGTCCAACTCTGAGAGATTTTTACAACTGTGTTATTAACTAACTTATTGAAGTAGACTTGTAAGAAGAATATAGACATTTACAAAGCTCAAAAGTAATGCCTCATGTGCTGTTGGGCAATAACGGTGACAGTGAGGCTGCATGTTGCAAAACAATAAAAGTGTGCTGGTATATGAACAGTTACAGTCATAAATTCACTCATTCCTGGTCTGCAATGTCATGTTAACTTTTTCAAGACTTTTAATGATTCCCCCCCATTTCTTTTCTCTTTTAATACAATGAAACAAAAACTGAAGTTTGAGCTTACTGCACATTTCTCTGATCCACACAGATACTATAATATACATGCACTGACTCCAACTATATTCATTTGAAAGTTGTGGCTCAAAAATCCATTTTAAAGTCACCACCAGGCTCCCAAAGTCATTTTGTGTGGATATTTGATCATTTCTCTTAACCCTGACTGCCTGGAGTTATTCAGTTATATAAAAAGAAATACTTTTTTTTATTCTAAATTAAGTAGATTTGATTTGAATTTAGTATATGCAATCAATTTAAAAACTATGAATTTAACAAATGGTGCTAATTAGGCAAGTTTTGCATAATTTGGTTTAACTGTGGCCACTAGATGGCAGCAAAGAGCTTTCAATATGACTCTTGGTATGTGTTGACTTTACATTAACAGACAATAGTGCTAAACACACAATGTCTGTCAGCATTACACGTGTGTATTCAATACTCCTTAGCCATATCAGGTTCTCAAATTTGAATATTTTTCATATTTATGTGCAGTTTTATTTGATTTTATTGTATTTTATATGTAGAACTTAAAGGTTCAGTAAGGAATTTGGCATGTGACGTTCTTCAGTCAGAGGCTTCTTACAGACCGCTGCAGAAGGTCTTTCCTGCTAACCGCTATCATGATCTCCTATAAGTTATTTAATTTCCTTTTGGGATCAATAAAGTATTTTTGAATTTGAATTACCATGCTAAACAATTTCCTTTCATTTAATGGGCAACAGCACTTTGAATTTATTTTTTAGTTATGTTCTTCCACATGCAGTTTGACCCCCACTGACGCCTCGCCTTGTGTCTTCCCACAGCACATTGTCTCAGTGTTGTCATGCAGTGGTGGCTTTGCTCTATCCCTTCACCTGGCAACATACATACATTCCTGTTCTGCCGCCGTCCATGTTGGACATAGTCTGCTCCCCGACTCCCTTCATAGTGGGCCTCCTCTCCAGCTCTCTACCTCGACTCAAAGAGCTGCCCATAGAAGAAGTAAGAGTCGACTTTGTTTTGGATGTTGTTGTGGTGCCCTTGACTCTGAGAATTTCCTCTGCTGAACAATAGCTCAGGAAAATGACGTCACTCTCCCTCTGTTCAGGTCCTGGTGGTCGACCTCGGCAACAGCCGCTTCCTACGTCAGGTAGTAACCGCAGAGAGCGCTGCAAAAATCTGCTCCGGTCCATGGAGGTGTTGGGGATGCAGCTCTATCTAGTGATCAAGTGAATGCAACATGTTGGCTATAAATCTGTTTTGTTTCCCTGCAGCTGGATGATGAGGACTCTATTCTTCCTCACAAGCTGCAGGCAGCTCTTGAGCACGTGTTGGAAAAGAGAAGAGAGTTGGCCTGTGAGAAAGGAGACCTACCTAATGGTGACTGAACAAACTTATATGACAGTATATCAATCATTATTAAGGCAACGGAAGCACAATGAGAAAAGGGAATGGTTATTTCATTTTACGCACATAATTTTTTTCTGCCTTGGGAAAGGTTTACATACAGCTCTGTCACGATAACAAATTTTGCTGGACGATAATTTGTCCCAGAACTTATTGCAATAAACAATAATATCGTTGTTTTGAGACCATTTTCAAGTAATATAATAGCAATAAAGGCATAAAAATGCAAGAACTCATTCTCAAAGATCAATAAACTTTAAATTATAATTAACATTTGAACACTGGAACTGAAAAACATTTGAAATATTCAAAATAAATAAACAGAAACAACAAATAAAATTAATTATGAAATCTCTGTCAACAAAATTATCTATCAAAAAACTCCAGATCGAAGACTTTTATCATTCAGAGAGAAAAGACAAAAATCAAGCAAATGAAAGTGATTGCGTTTGTTTGTTTTTTTTGTTTTGTTTTGTTTTTTTAATTTGTCAATTGATTTGTTGTTTATTGTGGCAGGCCTACATACAATCATGAAGGTCCCGTTAACTTGGAGACTTTACTGATGCTTTTGAGTCAAACTCTTCTGCCATACCAGTACCTCAGACTTTATACTTTATTTATTGGTTCTATATATTTTGGTCGTACATTTTGACTTCCTGTTTAGGAACTGAGATTGTGAATTATTGCATAAAAAACCCATTAGGGTTCAAATCATTTCACATTTTCTGCTTGCGCTTGTTTTCCAAACATGTGCTCCCCTCCAGACTCCAGCTCTCTCGGTGCGGTGGTCTCGGAGGCCTTTGTGCGTTTCTTTGTGGAGATGGTGGGCCACTACTCCCTTTTCATGAGCGGATCGGAGCGGGACGACGATTCGCCCACGTCGCCCGTCCCGTCGTGTCCCTCCACCTCGTCGTTTCAGCGAGAGGCATTTCGCAAGGCGGTCACTTCCAAGAGCCTGAGACGGTTTCTGGAGGTGTTCATGGAGACCCAGATGTTCAGCGGCTTCATCCAGGAGAGGGAGCTGCGCAGACAGGGCCTCAAGGGTACAGATCCTTTTGTAGCGTCCTCGCAAAAGTATTCATCCTCTCTCGTTTCATGATGCAACCAACCAAACATCAGTGTGTTATTATACTTTTATGTGAAAGAAACACTTTAAGAAGCAAAACAACCCTAAACTATCAGCCAGTGGTAAAATGGTTTACATGTTGAGGAAGCGTATTAAAGATTTTAAAGAAATACAAATGTTTTTGCAATGCACAATATTTAAGCTTACACTAATTTCTTCGAAGCATCTGACTTTGAATTAGTAAAACCAATATTTTGTGTCCAGGTCTGTTTGAGGTGAGAGCACAAGAGTATCTGGATTCACTACCCGGTAGTGAACAAAGAGGAGTAAACAAGTTTCTCAAGGGGCTAGGTGAGGTTTATTTTTATTACCTTAGCAAGTCGGCATATGAAAGAGTATTAGGCTCATGGTGAGAGCATTTTTAAACATACAAGATGAGGATAAAGTCATTATATTATGAGAATAAAATAATAATTTTACAACTTTCTTCTAGTAAGTTTTTGATTTATTCTCAAAATAGTTTGTTACACTATTTTTTACTTTATTCTCGTAATACTGTAACTATTCATGTAATATTATGGCTTTATCCTCTCCAGTTTTTTTTTAAACTTATTTCTTCTTAGTTTGACTCTTAATACTCCGTCATAGCATGATTTTGTTTTGCTCTTTGACAATGTCATCTTTGTTGCACTTCCTGTTACATATTTGTTGCTTATTATTTTTCAGGGAACAAAATGAAATTTCTGTCCAAAAAATGAGAGACTGAGCAAAGCGGTCGTCAGAGGAAGCACGATGGAGAAGACGTCCTCCGTTGGATGCGCGGGGGGGACGGGGACGCGTCTGTCAGTCGTGTCCCTCTGAAACGAACTGGATTTACGATCTGTGAAGATGACAGAATCTGGAGGACAGTCGGGTTCAGTTCTCGACTCCGACAGCTCGTCCCGTTGGTGTTGTGGAGACCAATATGTAGTCTTATAATCAATGGTAAATGATCAACGTTTTACAGGTTAAGTTCTGTCTCTGCAGTGTATCACTGTACAGCACATTGCATTGTAAATGTTTTAGCAGCAGTGTTCTCAGTGACTAACACCAGCCATAACCCTGTGAAGAGAAATACCACTAAAGTCCAATGTTGTACAAGACCTTAATTTACATTCCTGCTTTTTTTTTATAGGGGCTTTTTATGACTATAACAGTACAACTTCTTCATCGACAGGAGGCTTTTTAAATAATTTATGTCACTTCTAGACAGATCTAATCTTTTATTTTAAAATCTGTATTCACATAAGTGCAAATGAATCTCCTGTAGTTGGTTGTAAACTTCTAAAGAGTTGTGCTCCAGACATTTTGTAGACCACTGTGGGAATATGTGTGACTGTTTTTAAGGAATTTCACCTTTTCTGGAATAATAACGTCCACCAAGGTCGAAGATTGAGAGGGTAAACAATGTGAAATGTATTTTTTGGGGGCGTTTTACTGGAGTTTATGTGCCAACAATTAAACAATGATATATATTGTAGATCAAACAGTGTATAAAACAACTCGGGATGTCTTAAACTTTTAGTCATAAAGCAATGAAACTTAATAAATAAGGTGATTTTAAGTTTGACAAACGACTATTCATCTCTTAAAAACAGCAACACACTCAGGCTGGCTATTGGCAATATATTTTTGTATTCCTGGTGAACATGGCGTCCCTTCTAACAGAAATGAAAATACATTTATTGGTCAGTTGAATCATAAATTGTAGAGAAGCTCAGGTTACGAAACGTGGAATATGTTTCTTCTACTGGACAAGCCTTCTGCAATAACTACAACATCCAGTAGGAGGCTCTGCGACACTTTATGTTCACTTGTTGCTTCTCATAGTTCAAAGTTCAGAGTAACATCTGAGACATTAACGCCTCCAGGTCTTTAATATATTGTGCAACACGCCTAAGTCTGCCATGTTGTCGACTTTCTCTACACTTATAATGGTAGCAGACCTCACTTATCATATTAATAACAACGACAATGTTCCCTGTAGGCCACAACCAGACCAGTCTTGTTTTAAAACGCATCCTTTTTTTAATAGGTTTACATTTTAAATTACATGTTTTGTATTGTAACCTGTTCAAACTATTGACTTCAGTTACATCTCAAAATTATTCTTTTGGGTTTTAACACACTAATTCACTAGATAACTCTTCAGACTATTTTTACCTAATACGTCCTGCTACAATCAAGGAAACGGCAATTAAAATCTACAACATTGCTTCAGATTGTTTCTTTTGCATTTTTAACGATATGTATATATTTTTCCCTCATTCCAATTCATGCACTAGAGAAGGTGAAGAATGACCTTTTTTCTCTTATGAGCAAACCTTCTGTAATACCCGTGGTATCCGCTAGGGGGCTCTCCTAGTCATTTGGTATCATGCAGCACTTGTTGCTTCTCGGGGTCCAAAGTTCAGAGCCACATCTCAGTTATATCTTCAGGATATTTGAATAATATAACAATAACGACTACAAAAATTTAGCATTTGTTATGAAAATGCCGTGTGAACGCTGGACACTTAATGTTTTTGGTGAAAATTTCTGAAGCAATTGAAGTCAACTGCAGAAGACGTGCAGAAATGTAAGAAAAAATGCCAATACAGAAACTGCTTAAAAGGTGTAAAAACTTTCAAGCAATGCTAAAATCCCACATAGAGTGTTACAAATTGGTGCAAAACAGTGTTTACAAAGCTAAACTGTACGGTCACAGCAGTTTATTAGGTAAAATGAAAAAAGCTAGCTAAAATACTAATGATAGCATCTAGGCTAGAACTAGCATGTTGACCTACTGTGACACACTCCATGCAAAGTGAAAAAAACCCCATGTAAAATTTAAAACTAGCTAAGAAGCTTAAGTCCGCTAAAAAAAACTAAAAGTTTTTATTCTAACACAAGCATGTTGATATTAAAATTCACTCCTACTACTTCAAGGTCAGTAAGATTGTTTTCAGCTCTTCTATGACATGCTACTTCTGTGTTCGCTGTTATATCCATAAACATCGATCAAAATTGTAAAATATAAAGTGTTTAAAGAGATGCTAGTTTAATTGAGAAAAAAACAAACTTATTTTTATGTTTATACTGTATTACACTTGTGCTAAGTGTTTGCCCTCTTCCTGATTTTCTGTTTTAGCATGTTTATCACACAGTCCATTGTAGATATCATTCAAAGACAACAGAGGTAAGCACAGATTTTAAGTGAAGATGTTCATCATTAAGGGAGAAGAAACCCTGCATGGCCCTGTATGAAAAAATGACTGCTCTGTTAAAACCCAGCTGTAGTTTATCACACCTGTTCAACTGTCTCACCTGTTCTCAATCAGATCATCACTTAAACAGGACCTGCCTCACAAAGTGAAGTACACCAAAACATCCTCAAAAGCTAGATGTCATGTCTACACAGATCGACTCGATTCACATCTCACGCTGCTGCTCGTCTGGGCTTTCTTCCATTGAAATGGATTCCCATGTCTTATAAATATCACGTAAACACTTAAAAATAATACAGCTATATTAATTGGCTTAGTATTTTCACATTTGAGTGCCTAAGCGTTGTGTTGCGTGTGGGTTCCAATATCCGTGGTGCTACTTGCGTTCCGGCATCGTTTTAATTTACAAATTAAGCACTGCCTATAGCTGTGACACTCTTTACCCCCCAGTGCACTTTAAATAAATCTGCAGTTCTTTTATTTTTCCAGCAAAAACAAGAGCCAGTTCAAATGACATTGTCTCCCTGAAATCAGTAATCAGGTAATCAAACATTTAATCAGAATCTCTACTTAGAGACAGATGGTGAATCCAACATAATAAACCATGTTGTGCCTACAGCATTCACACTAGTAAAGAGAAACAGGAACTCAGGTGTGAATGTCTTGCAGCATAAAAATGAAACCAAAACCCATTAAAAGTGAATTTACACTCTTTTAACCCATTAAACTGATCAAATTCCTGATCAGTTTGAAAACAAACGTGTGTTTTGTACAGAACTTTACAGAATATTATTCCCAACAAGAAAAAGTTATCTGTCAAGTTATTTTTTGTTGTTGTTGTTAACGTGGTGTCATGCCATTAACAATATAAATTTATTTGAAATAATCTTTGTAATAATCTCCATCCCTTGTCGTGACGTCACGCGCAGTATCCCGGGGATACTGTTGTAATATCATTACTCATGAAGTGATTGCCTTTCGTTTTGCTTTAGTTACTTTTCTTCTTCAGAAACCCTCCTCCTCCTCTTCGTCGTCATTACGTGCTGACCGGTCAGACCTTCCTCCCCTCCTCCTCCTCCTCTCTCCTCCCCTCCTTTCCTCCCTTGGTCTTTTTCTCTGGCTTTTTCCAGGCTTCATGTCATACCACGGCTAATTCCTGAAATTCCTGCCCTCCTTGCGCTTCAAACAAGCGAGCTCCAGGAAGGAGACGAGGCAGCACAAAACAAACAAAGGAGAGGAAAAGAAGAAAACACAACAACAACAACAACAACAACAACAGAGAAACAAACGAGAAAGCTAATTCAGCTTCTTTTTTAATTAAGACAGAGATAATAATTACTTCACCTGCCTCCCTGAATGCGCCTGTCGGACTTGTCATAGAGTTTCAGCAGGTAAGCTATTTCAGCGTTTTGCTGTTTCTTGTGTCCAGGGTTTTTTCTTCTTCTTCTTCTTCTTCTTCTTCTTCTTCTCCTCCTTGTGTCGGAGCGTGAACTTTTCTGCGTCACTATTTCTACACAAAATAATTTCCATTCACAGGCGGACATAACATACCTCAAATGTCTCACATTTCTCAGGAAGAATCCCTGCATTTTTCCCCCTCCTTCCTTTAATTACAGCTGTGGAGTGAGCCGCGGCTCTGAGTTCCAGTGCCTCAGCCGGGAAACGGACTCCCAGCCGTGCGGTCAAACATTAGCGCCTGGCCGGGTAAAGTTTTACTCCGGAGCCAGTTAAACCGCCTATTTATTAACTCACTAAATTATAGATATATATATAGATATCTTTCTCCTCATCATTTCCGGTTGCAGCAACAAGTGTTAGTGGACTGGAGTGGGTCTGACGGTCGTCTGAATATTCGGGTTGAATTCATGTTGTGTCATGATTTGTTAAAGTTTTTAAGTCGTTTGTTGTTGCTTAACATCTTGAATTAACGCAAAAGATGAATTCTGCGAAGTGAACAATTACACTGCGCAACTTTTGTTGAGTTTATCGAAGTTTTACTGCAGTTATTACTGATAAT